GTTGTCCTTGGCTTTCCCCTCAGCCTCCCCCAGTGAACACCTGGTGGTTTCTCTGCACCGTCACAGCAAGCCAGCGAGGAGGCTCACAGGGCTGCTCCCCACAGCCCTCCCGCACGCATTTTAAGCGCGTTACATACGGGCGGCTCCGCTACTCGGCTTGCTGCAGACAGCACTGAGCGCGGCTGCTGGCACTGTGAGGCTGACGTCACTCAAAGGGAAGCCGAGCCCCAGACCTTCGCCGTTCAGCAGACGCAGATGAAACGGCGCGCTCACTACCGACGCGAGGCGCCCCGAGAAACCCTGCGACGGCTCGTGGCGAGGGCGCAGGGCAGGGCGGCACCTTTAAGTAGTAGACCAGAAGCTCGTTGAGCGCGGGGTCGGCGTTCAGGTTGACGAGGAAACACTTGTCGTCCCCCACCTTGATCCCCGAGGACTGCAGGGAGATCCCGAGGCTCTCGAGCTGCTTCTGTCGCTCCTGCGAATGCGGGAGAGGGCGAGGCCGGGAGTCACCGGGTCACTCCGCGGCCCAAGCACGTTCGTTCTCTGGGGCTGCGGTCGTCACCGTCCCCTCTCCAGATCCTGTTACTTCATCAATGATAACCTCTTTATTTCTGACAAATAAGGCCCGTGCAAATAGCCACCAAGTACTGTGCGCTTGAGTTTGATTTTCCATTCTAGAAAGCGCGACTGTCTGTCCAGGCAGAATCCATCTTTTCCGCGTATCCCGCCTGTGTAATAGCATGTTTTGTTCAACTGTGACCTTCCTCAAAGCCGAGGGTGTACGCCGCCAGCCCCACACTCCCAGGGCCCCGCCGAGGAAGCCCGGCTCCCCGCAAGCAGGGGCAGGTGCGGCCACCAGGGTCCTGCTGCGCTCCCTGCTTCGGCCCCGCCTGGGCCTTCCTGGAGCTCACTCGTTCTCACACGCGGTAGCCACGCATGTGACTGTTTCTCTCTGAGGGCTGGGCCCTCTGTGCCCACGGCCCCAGCACGGGGGCCTCAAATGTGCCTTTGCGAATTTGTCCAATCAAAGCGTGCATGTGTGATCGAGCACTACTTCCATAAGAATGTGGACCTTCCTACACGCCTACGAAAAGGAAAATGGTGGTTTTTTTCCCTTGAGATTCTTACAAATCCATTAGCTGCTAAGTCTCTACATGAAAAATCAAACGAGTGACTTATTGCACCAGGTAAGGACCCAAAGGGTCCAACGGTCTCCAGAGAAGCAAAGGCCAGGGGCGCGCTCTGGGCGGCCACGGTCAGCACAGACCTGAGCAATCTCCTCGGTTTTCCTTAATTTCTCCTCCCAGGTCACCGTCATCTCCTGGATCAGCTTCTCTGACTCTTCCAGCCGGTCTTTGAGCTCTGGAGATTTCATTGCCTGCAAGCAAAATGTTTACTTGGTGAGATGTCTGCACAAAACCCTGAGAAAGGAATCGGCTGCACCCAGGACAGCGGCGAAGGGGCCTCCCCTCGGCTCTGGGGGACCCAAGACCTGACCGAGACGTCAGGCTAATTCGTAACACTGCAGACTGGGTGCTGTTACTGAGCCAGGGAGACGGAGCAGATGGCAAAGCACCCTGACGAGCTCAAAATTACTCCTGACAGACAGGCAAAGCCAAGAGGCAAAGCTACAGGGTCATAGTTCACTGCCTCAACTGTGTTTTCGAGGAATTTACTACCAGAACAGCCCACCAGGAAAGGGTTGCAAGACAGGGGCTTCGGCCCCAGCCCGTGGAGGCGACCCCGGGGCTGGCGCACTCGGCACGGACGCTAATCAACGCAGGATCCGACCCGCGACTGCGCTCCCGGACAGCGGGACGGAGCTTGGCCGAAGCTTGGCCGCAGGTTAGGCGGGCGGGGCCCGGGCGTGCCGAG